TCTGTAGGAAACAAGAAGATTTCTCTGTTGTCCACAGCCCCGCCTTTATAACTATTTACTCCACAGTCTCCCACCTATGTGAAGTGAAATCACAATCCATTCTTTATGTGTATCATCACACTATTTTTGTTCTGAATTCTGTTCAGTGATTTTTCTATTGCTTGCTGATTGTATATTGGAAAGTTGTTTACTTGATTATTTAACAGTTTATATGTGCTTTAGTAGGGGCTTGAGTTTTTTTGAGCTGTGAAGCTGACCAAGCTGGGATTTGACCAAATGATGACACACCACCAAAGGATTATCAGGTCAACAGGAAAAGCTAAAGCATCTTCATTAAAACTTAGGTTGAATTTTACAGTGTGTGTCAACCCTTGTCAAGTCTACGTTTTAATTTAGTGATGTTTTCTAGATTTCTGGGCTATTTCTGTACTAAGAAACAATGCCTGGGAGGAAGTTGCTGGGTGTTGAAATAAGATTTATACTGTGAACTCTTAAGAGTATTCCCTTGTCTTCTGATGGGTGCTAGCTACCAGTTTTCCAAAGAGCTCTAGGCAGAGTTTGACATTACTATTCCAGGGACTGCATCACTAAGGTTTTTTTTGTACAGTCACACAATATTAATGGGTTGGATGATATGCTAGGGTGGTTATGAGCTGTTCTGTACCAGTTGCCCTTTACTGTCAGAGACTGCTCCCTGGCCAGTTAAACATACTGGCGCATACAGATGTAGAGTCCAAACAGATCGCTTCATTGGCAATAGTGAGCAGTTCACTGTCCCTTTCAAGCCTCAACTCATTGAAATAAACAAATTGGAAGTTTCCTCATCTGAAGTCCAGTCCAGGGGGACCCAGTCCAGGCAGAATGCTTACACTGGGATGATTGGATCTTTATACAACTCAGCTGCATATGCTGTCTTTTGGAAACATTTTGGAGATACTGTTGATAACCTCTGTATCTTGATCTGTTCACTAACTATCCCACTACTAGCTTTCTAATGCCTCTATTAGCTGGAGGGCTTTCAAATTGCATCATGCAGCTCCCACAGGAGTGCCGTAAGATTCACTTTAAATATTATAACTGTCCCTTCAAATGGAGATCAGCCCTCTGTTTGGAGGCATACCTTTAGGCAACAAAGAACTGAAGATTAGCATGAAAAACAGAACAGGTCATTTGTTGCAACATCTGTCTATGGTGCCTAGGTACAGTCATGTCTAACTTAGTTTAATGCTGAGTATGCAAAACTGATTGGAAGGCAGTGACCAGAACACAGAATCACCATGCTACCTCGAGAGTGTCACTGAGTTAGTTGTGGTGGCTCTTTTGAAAGCACTTGCTGTCATGTTTGTCCTTTGTAATTTTTTTATTTGTAGTCTTTGCTGCAGTAATGCACTGCAAGAGTAAAAGGTTTGTTATGTTTAGTGACTGGGGGTCAACAATAGTTTCTGTGTACTTTTATTCACAAAACCCCCTTTAGTTAACAGAACTAAGCCTGTATGCTTAATCATTTTGCTTAAATGTTGATTAAAGAGATGATGTTCCCCTTTATGACAGCTAACCTTGCTGTTCTGATGAATAGCAATGCAAATGAAGTTGTTTACTGTTAGAATTCTTCTTGCCTGCAGACTTTCTCTAAGAATTAATTTATTTTTTTAGAATTGTTAATAAAATTGTTGGAGTGGTAGTAGTCTAGTGGTGGAAGAGTCTGGCCCAGTTTGGGATGGCTGTTCCAGCTGATATCCTGATCACAGACCTACTGATTATTCTTGAGTATCTCTCAGGTGGTTCTATGCTGAAAGTAAGAATTCAGGCTTTAGTCTTTTCAAAACTATTGTGCCCTAATTAAATGCTCTGTGTTTGACTTGGAACATTTATGTGGGGAGGATTCACTTGCCTAATCTAGGCATCTGGTGCCAGTTTAGATAGTATAATGTGTCCTTGCCACTTCAGAATAACAAGGATCTCCTGCATCCTGTGTCATGCCGCTGACCCCATGTGCATGACTCATTCTGAAGTGTCTCAGATGCTGCTAGATGCCTGTTCCTAAGCATCTGAATTGATGCTTTTGTGCCAAACATTACTAATGAACTCTGTGTCACTGTAAAAGCTCGTGGTATTTCTTAGGAGAAAAAATACTTAATTTGAATGTAATGCTGTTCATAAGAACTTAGAATTGCTGCTTCAAGTTCTTGCTGGTACACTTCATCAGTGATTAGAAAATCTCAAATTTCTTAAGTGAGAGGAAAAGGTATCTACTTTTTGAACAAGCTGTGCTTTGTAATGAGCTTGTATAGCATGAGTTCACATAGAGGTGGCATATGGTTGCCATCCTATGGATGAGATGTAGTTGACTCAGGATTGGAAGGTGACAGAAGGATTATCTAAACCATTGCTTATGAGTTAAAAATGTAGGACTTTGTATTTCTAAGTGCTGATTACAGTGGTTAACATGCAGGAGAAGTAGTTTTAGAGATATATTTCATTTTTAGCTTTTGTTGGAATTTAGATTTTTTGTAATAATCCATAAATCTTTTTTGTTCTCTTATTTTTTTCTTCACATAAGTACTCCTTGTATTTCTTGTTTGCTTGTCTTCTGTATTCTTAGAACAACTTTCTGACAGCCTGTGTTGAAGTCTTCATTAAAATAAAAATTTTATCTGTGGTGTTAGAACATTTCACTCTACTATACTGATTCAGACTTCTGTGTTACACTTGTGAATGATGTGAGCCATGCAGTGCTCTGCTTACAGTACCATCTAAATGAGAGGCGGAACCACATGCCGTTAGAAAACTCCTTAGTTCTCTTTTGACTTTAAGAACTAGTTTAGAGGCTGTTTGTTCTGAGAATAAAAACCTTATCAGAATTTAGGAAACTTCTTTCCAAACTGCAGGTCCTCAAAATTAATTTGTTTAGAATTTTTAGTATTTTTTCCATTTTTAATGAAACTAAGAATGAAAACTTTAAAAAAAAAAAAAAAAACCAACCTAGTGCTGCTGGTCAGTGGCAACTTTCTTAGTGTTACTCTTCCAACTAAAGCAGTAGATTTCAGACTCTGCCGTACTCTGCTGCAGCAACATCAAAACTTAAGATTCTTAACACCTCCAAAATATTAACTGTTTGGGAATTGTATGTCATGGAAGTCTGGGTGAGGGAAGGGAAGAATGATTTGTCTGACCAGGAGTACTGTTAGTCTACTGCTAGTTAGCTGTATTTGCAAATCCTATTTCCATTTATTTTGCTGGGGCTGAATGCTGAAACCTTCCTATAGTGATGTGAAGCAATAGAAAGATTTTTGTTATTTTATTTCACATTTGTGTGTAAGTTAAGCATATTGCAATTTAAAACTGCAAATTACAAACCAAGCGTACTGCAGGTTGAAAAAAACCCCATAACTGTATTGTGTAGGTAATAGAGCTTTGAAAAGTTGTGGGTTTTAGGAGTGAATATCTAGTGTTGTAACTAAGATTGGAATTAAACTTGAGATTTTTTGAAGGTAGGCTGTCATAGTGGTTTTCTCGTGTTTTGATACATGCAGAGTTCTAGCTGAGGAAGTGGTCTAAGATGCACGTTCTGCTTGACTTTGGAGATGACAAAAAAAGATATTTTGATAGTTAAAGGAGTGGGTGGTGCTAAATGGCAAACTTCTTGAGTTTGGAACACTGAAGTTTCACAGAGAAATGAAGACTGAAAGAGCTGAGTTTAAGAATGAGAGAACAAGTAAGTTAAAGCAAGATGTGGTTGCTCTGCAAGCTAGCATATTTTGTAGTGAATAATAGAGTGTGCTGCAAATCAGGTTGAGTTATTACTGTCAAATGTACTAAGGAAAAAATACTGGTAAATAGTGAAGTATCTGATATGCTCGTCCTGACTAGTCTACTATCAGTGATTTGGAAGAGTTGAATCTATAAAGCTGTTGCTTTCTTCCTTGACTGTCTAATTATACAAAACTGCTAGTTTAGATATGTTTGGGGTTTGATTTTTATGTAACTTTAAAAGAGTTTACTAACTAGTAAATCATAGCAATTGAAATTCCAGTTTTAGCTACAGAAATTGAAATGGGCTCACCTATTTTAGTAGTAGAAAGACAATTATTTCAAAGCTGGCAAGTATCAGAAGTGTGTCTAAAACACTAGAATGATTTGAAATACTTTCAGTTAGAATCTTGAATGAATATTTAATCTAGTATCTCCATTTATTAGAGCATTTGGGGTTTGGAACTTATTTCTGTGACATTACTACCATGGCTTGGTGTAGCACTGCTGTTCCTAATGTATTGTGACACATTATAAGATATTCTCAGGATTAAATGCAGTTTAAGCGTGTCAAAGAAAATACAAAATTTGATGATGTTAGAGGTTTTTTGTTTTTTTCAAATGTTTGAAACTAATGTTAAAGGCAGTTTTGGTGAGATGTAATTACTAGCAACAGACTAACAGGCAAAACACTTGTCCTTTTCCTGTATTTGCTCTAACCTATGGTATGTGTTTATGAGGAAGGGGAGTTGTTCAGGGTATCTGTATGCTTATTTCGTTAGGCAGATCTAGGTGAGCTTCAATGCTGTATAAATTCCAGTTTCATATTGTTGCAATATTTGGAGGAGTGTTTTTGTGATAAGGCTAGAAGGGACAATTCTGATTGCACTACGTGGACGGATTCTAGAGTCGCATTCAGTAATAACCTCATACTACCCAATAACTAATGGATAAATTAGGCACCCTGTAAAGAACGTTCTAACTGTCCCACTTATAGTGGAGGGAATAATGAACTTTTGTTACTTCTATCATTGATGGGTAGTCTCTATTTTTATGTGCTTTTTTTATATGATGACTTTCTCATTCAGTAACTCTGAACAAGAAATAAGCTAGCTAGTCTGAAATCAGATGATTGGAGTCTCTTTCACTAAATACAGAGTTACTGTGAAAACACATCTGCTTGTTAAGTTCCTGTATTTCATGGGAAAGCCAGAGGTATCATATTATTTCAAAGCTGTAAATACAACAACATGTTTGATCTTATGTATTCCAGGTAATTAGGGGAGAAGTATGTGAAAAGCGAAAAGCAGAGTTTGAGATTATAGATCACAGGCTATGTCTTAAAAATAAATGATAATGCACAATATGAACAGCTGAGCCCTTTGCTTTATCAGACAAAATTTGATGAAGATCACTTACAACTTAACAGTATTTATTTTTCAATATTGAAAATGTTCTATCATGCAACAAAGAAGGGAACAATTAAATTTTTTCTTGTACCTGCAGATTTTTTTAAAACTAATCTTTCTAATAGTTTGGGGGATTTTGTTTGCTTACCAAATTAAATGTGCTTTTAGAACAACTGTGCTTACTGTTAGAAAAAAGTACATTTGTCACCCTGTCACTTGGCAGTCTTCAGGCAAACATTTCTTCTGCTTGCATTAGATAAACTGAAAAATGTGGGGGAATATTAATAGAAATGGGCAGTGGAACTATGAATAGCATAACATTTTCGGTTTTTGTCAATCATATTTAGGCTTGATCGTCTCTTTATTTTACTGGACACTGGTACAACACCAGTAACAAGAAAAGCAGCTGCACAGCAACTTGGGGAAGTAGTGAAACTGCATCCTCATGAACTGAATAATCTCTTATCTAAAGTAAGCAATTTTTTTTTTTAGTACATTAAAGTAGTTTTGTTTTCACTATTAAAGGGGTGTGGGTTCTGTGGGAAGAAGTAGTCTCTGAAAACAGGAGACTGAAGAAAATGAGGAGACTACTTCCGTTAAGCCTGCTGTTTTGTCAGCCTCTGAAATGATTAATAAGTGAGGTTTCACTTTGCATTCAGTATTGATATTCTATGCTTCCTGTACGTTCAGATTTACTTCTTTGAGGAGAAAACTTTACTGTCTTATAAAAATTTCTGCTCCTTCCTTTAAAGATTGTTAATTTTGTGATACAGTATCAAAAATATAGGAGGCTGCATGTCTTTAAAAGGGCTGGGAAATGGAAAGAGATTTCCATAAGTTTGAGACTTCAATCTGGCTAAGTCTAGTAAAACCACCAAAAATAGTCTGTACCTGACAGCTGGAGGTGGCCGAGTGACCTCAATTCTGCTTTTACTGAACAGGTGCCCTCACCACAATTGATGGTATCAACAAAGTGGCCAAGGAATCATGACTATCAAACCACTTTCAGAGAAAGAAATAGTTTTTCAGATTTGAGACACAGTGGTAAATTAGTTTAGAAGAGCATATGTTGCTTCAAGTGGCCCATGTTGTCTATTGTCTTGGGTTAAGTGACTTCAGAGTTTTAAGATCTATTAATCTCATTTGAAAACTTCCTTTTAGAAAGCAAAAATCAAAAGTCTCAAGCCTTGTTCAGTACCTGGAGGAGATCATGCTTGAGTTTGACTGATGGGACTAAATTTAAGATAAATTCTTAATGTCTGACCATAGCAAGAGTTCCGCTAAGCAGCGAGCAATGTAGAGAAGGCTGCTTGCATTTCCTTGGTTTGTTTTCTTGTCCATTGTTTTTGTTGCTTTGAATGTTGTCTTAATCCATAGCATTAAAAGTGTGTTTTAATAGAGCATAACAGCTGATGGATTTTCTGAAAGTACGTTTTAAGCAAACATTTATTTATTTATTGATCTCTCCTTAAAGGTCTTAGTGTATTTAAGAAGTACGAATTGGGATACTCGTATTGCGGCTGGCCAGGCTGTTGAAGCAATAGTGAAAAATGTACCTGAGTGGAATCCAACTCCGAAATCAAAACAAGGTGCTGCTTAAATGAATTATGTACAATTCATTGTTTATCTGATGCAAACTGACTGTGATATGAGACTTTTCAAACCAACTGTGTCATTCTGGTTTTTATGAGCATAGACTTTTTTATGTGTGGACCGTGGTAAACATGTCTGACTTCAGATGTTCATATTCAGTTACAATGATGTGCCTGACCTTTGTTTCTTCTAAGATTGCCATGCTTGTGCTCTGTACCCTCATAAAGCTTTTATAGATAAAAGGAATAATAACTAGTAAAATGGCGAAACTTTTAACCAGTCAACTTTGTCATGATATTTTGCAGACATTCTCTTCTCTGTCCCCTTGTTCAAAACACCTTTCTGAGGGAAGTGAAATGGCAGCTTCCTGAAGCCTATTCTGGTTGTACTCGCTTTGCATATGAAATTGTCACGTTAGGGATGTTAGAGTTGCTTTTATTGTCAACTTATGGATCTATTGTCAGTGATTTTTGTCTAAACCTGTTGGCACTGTCTATGTTCACAACCTCATGTAGCGCAGGTTCCAGAAATTTGCTGCTTAAAAAAACCCAAACAAAATAAAAAACCAACAACAAAACCCCTTATATCTGCTTTGAGGTGATCTCATATGTTTCATTTAGTGCCTCCTGGTTCTGTTGCTATAGAATTTGACAAGCAAGTTCTGGATTTGCCTTATCCATTTGCCTTTATGATTTTTGTGAACTGTCATATTTGCTCTCCTCCAACAACTTCTCTCCAGATTGAAGAGTTGCAGTCTCTTCAGTTTTTCCTTACAAGGCAGCTGCTTTGTCTTTTAAATAACTTTATTTGTCCTTCTCTGTGCTTTACCTTATTCCATGAGATGTACAGAACTGTACACAGTGTACCTACATCACTAGAGTACTGATATTTACACATGGTGGTAAAACTATGCACTTTGTCAAGTTTTCAGTGTCTTTCCTGATGATGCCTGTACTTGGTGGTTTTGGTTGTGTCTGCCCAATAAGCTGGTGAATTCAGAAAACTGTCAAAGATCTTTATTGAATGTTAACTGCCAGTTCCAAATTCAGTGACGTGTAGGCATGATTTAGGTTATTAATTTTGGATTCCTTAATGCTGTTATGACTCTTGGTTACCCAGAGGAGCTTAGTGTCATCTGCATGTTTGAGAAGTGTGTAGCAAAATCTCCTTCCCATTGCTAAAGATTTGGTTTCAACACTGATCCCTGAAGGACTCCAAAACTAACTTTTATCTCCTTAAACACCTGTCCGTCTGTAAAAGGATGTTTTCCCCAATTCTGTGGTAACTTAGTTACTTCAATTTTTTTTATATAAAATCTTGCCAAAAGCTTTTTAATATATTATGTTGACTCGATCCCCTCTATCCACTTGTTGGAGCTCTTCAAGGACACTCATAATCAGGTCAATGAGAGGGTTTGGTTTTTAGTTGTGGGTTTTTTTTTTTTCCCAGGATCTCTTTCCCAGTAAATTGTATTTATCCATGTACTTAATTTTATTGATAGACTACTATCTTACCAAGGATAGAAGTTAATTTCACAAGGCTGGTTCCAAGAATTACTTACCATACTCCTTTAAGACTGACAGGTTGCCCAATTTCCAAGTTCAGCAGCTCTTTTGGATGCATTGTCTAGTTCTTCCATATCTGCCTATCAGATACGAAACTTGAAAGGTAATTATGTGTGTTTGAGAAACAGGTACCATTTAATAGGGCTAACTGGCTATGCAGACATTTGTTTCTTTTATTTCAATTAAATTGTTTGATGTAGTAGTCAAATACATGTGTTTTACAGTGGTCTGGCTGTAGGTTCTTAGGCTTGCTATAAATTGCTTCTCTTTTTGTATTTGTGTAATGAAATGTTGACTTCAGATCTGAAGAAATGTAGATGGTGGTTATTTTGTACAGTGTCTTGTGCACTTAGACTCATTCTACTGTAAGTGAACAAGCTTTCATAAATAAGTGTGGGATGAAACACACCAAACTAAATGCTTATTTCTTGTAGGCAACAATTGTATTTATACTGCTAGTTGTAATTTAGGATGTGAGAGTGCTGGATTATGTAGGAATAGCCAATCTTTTTGGATACTAAGCTGCACGTGACTAGAAGCCACAAAACACACTGATCTGTGAGTGTTGAGGGGAGGGAATACTTTGGAAGTGAATTAATAACCAGGAAATTGAGATACAGATGAGATTTGTTCCTCACAAGGTACCAGTATCGAACTGCACTGTACCCGCAGCTGGATTTGAGAAGAGCTGATAACTAGTCTTCAGCAGCCCTTGGGAGCTGACTTTCTCCCATACCTGTTAAGACTACTCTCTAGCTTCCATAGCAGGGATGCTTGGCCATTGGTAATATGATACAGTGTTGGCATGATACTTGTATGAACTATTTGTGAGCCATATGCAGTTCGAACTGCAAGTTGGCCATATGTGTCCAGAGAAGACCTAGTGGTATGTAAGTGTCCAAGATCTTAAAAAGCTAAATTTATCAAGGGAAAAATGTGAAAAAAATTTTATACTGAATTAAGTGTTATGTGAGCTTTTTCAGTCTGTCTTTGTGAAATGGAGCCTTTACACTTTGTGAATCAAAATGTTGTGTGTCTGATGATTCCTTTGGAGGAAAGAAATTACTACTTCTTTCTCTCACTTAATCTTCTGCCAGAACTTTGAGCAAAAATTTCATCACATTGTCCTTAATATTATTTTCAATGTTCTGTCTAGAACCAGGCTCAGAAAGTCCTATGGAAGATTCACCTTCAACAGATCGGTTGCGTTTTGACAGATTTGATATATGTCGGTTGTTAAAACATGGTGCATCTCTTCTTGGATCTGCTGGTGCAGAATTTGAAGTCCAAGATGATACATCAGGTATATCTTTGTATTTTACTTGCAGATAAGAAAACTTACTCATTTGAAAAAATTTGTTGTGGCAGTATTATGAGTTTAGTCATTCATGATTTCTCAGAATGCTAGGAAATAATGGAAGGAAAATATTCCCCAACGTAACTGGTTTGTATTATCTTACTCAAGCTAAATGACTTTTCTTAGGGGGTGCATTTTGTTTGGGTTTTTTCTCTCTTATCAGAATTCTATGTGTATGGGGGGGAAGAGGAGAGCGGAAACCTGAAAGAGGGAGTGGAAAAAGCAATATTAAAGACTTCTGTAGAATTTCTGTAGACTTTAAGAGGTGCAGGAACTATCACCACTTTTTCTTCATTAAAACGGTGTTCTCAAATATAGTAGTAGGATGTGGCTTATTTAAAAGCGTGAAATCTTTCAAATACAGAACAATTGCCTGAAGGATACTGTGATAAAACTGTTAAAGTTGGAAGGTCAAATATCAGTGCCTGCATGATGTCTTTTGTTTCATGTGACTTGTCTGATACCTTTCTGCAACTTTTTAGCTGAGTTGGTCTGTATTAGTGTAATGACATTGAATTATTTTAATCTAAGACTTTTTTTTTTTGCTATTACTGTACTCTAATTGCAGTCTGTCTTCCAGTTTCTGCACCAAATGAAATGATGCTATAGATAAGAATCTGCTCTGACTGCATAGCCCTCATTCATTCGTTCCCCACGTGTGATGTGTTCTGTGTGGTGTACACAGAAGATCACTAGCTCAGCAAGGAACAGAACCTATGGCTCCTGACACTTAGGCACTATCCTGTCTGTTAAGCTTTGCTCCTATTTTATTGCTTGCCATCTTTTATGCTAGGTTAATAAAGTGGTGTACAAGCTTCATGCAATTAAAAAAAAAGCTTATTAGATATAATTAACTACTAATTACTACTCAACGTGGTGTAAATTCTACCAATATTGGTCACCTATTTACAAGTTTACGTGCAGATATTTGACCAAAAAACCCCCAGTCTCCTGGCTCGTTTCCGTACTGCACATGTAAAGAGAGTGAAGTCTGACAGCCCTACAAGCTACAAGTTTCACTTTACTTGGAAGGTCTAGCCTACTCAGGCATTAAAATCTTTTTTAGGTAAATGTGGGTGCTCCCAAAATCTAAATTTTCAGTAATTAAAGTGTTGAAGCCTCACAACATTCTTGAGGTAGCTTCTCTAACTTCCTAAATGAGCCTTGCTTGACACATGAAGCTTGAAGATGAGATTAACAGACTCCAGCACCCTAGGAAAATCATGCTTATGCTGCAGTGTACATTGCCATCAGGAGTTAGTTTGGGCAGAAGGAAAGGAGACACCTGGGTCTAGTGCATTTTAACAAGGAAGAATGTTTCTGAAGAAAACAGGTTTGGATTCAACCTAGCTTAATACAGGATATTGGATTGACTATCATTTGAGGGGTTTCATTGGTGGTTGTTATTTTTTAGGTCTGTGTTTCCCAACAGAAGATAGTTTAAGAGGAAAAGAAACCTTTGGGGGGAAAAAACACACCAAAAAATCAACCAAAAACCCATCAAAAATACAGACTGCCAAAATCAACAGATCCCACAAGGATGCATGTGCTCAATAAAAAAAAGCGCTAGTTTTTTAATTGGTTGCTGGATTTATTTTTAGTGTGTTAATTTTGCTGCTTTCAAAGTTTACTTTCCTAAAAATTCAGGGAAAACAGGTGTTTTTACTTCTGTAGACCAAGTGTCATTTAATGAATTTCATGGGAGCTATTTTCTGCTTAATAATTGATGACAATTTAAGTACTAGTATAGCTTCAGCAGAAAAGGTCTTCCTGGGAATCAGTGTGATCTGGTTTAAAAGATTGTATCAATGTATTAGGCAAGTGCAATTTAATTCTGTAACTTTTGGCTTTCTTATTTCATTGAACAAGTCTTCAATAACAGATCTGTTTGGAAATCTGACACATCTTCCCCTTTTTAAAAACTTTTTTTAAGGTGAAATTGATCCTAAAGAGAGGATAGCACGACAGAGGAAACTGTTACAAAAGAAACTTGGCTTAGATATGGGTGCTGCAATTGGGATGAATACTGAAGATCTGTTCAATGATGAAGATCTGGACTATTTGCCTTCTTCAGTTTCACTAGTAAACAAACAACCTGTAGGTAAAACCTTGGGCTATTTGACTGCAAGGAATAATACAGTGGGTTTGCTTTATTTCATAGAATTATTTAGGTTAGAAAAGACCTTTAAGATTGAGTCCAGCCATAAACCTAACACTACCAAGTCAATCAAATTTGTGCTTCTGCGGTTATAATCTTTGTTTTAAATATGATGATCAACATCTAATATGGTATGCTTTGCCTTCCTGAATTCTTATGCCCCATAGTTGCATGTTAGTGTTATTTCATGTCAAACTGCTGCTCTGAGTTTGAAATGATGGAGGGTCGGGGAAGTTGAGAGCAATGTGAGTTTGAGGATTTTTCAGGACCTTCATTGTAAGAAGAATTGACAATGAATGACTTCTCTTTCAGACTCTTCAGGCTGCTGAGTTAATTGACTCAGAATTTCGAGCTGGTATGAGCAGTAGACAAAAGAATAAAGCCAAAAGAATGGCTAAGCTATTTGCGAAGCAAAGATCCAGAGATGCAGTGGAAGCTAATGAGAAGAGGTATAATAGTGAACTGGTTTGCTTTTATTTCAGTTAAACTGAGATTATGATTTATCTGTTGGAAAAATTCCTATAGTCTTTGCAGCTTAATCTTTTACATGCTAATTGTGCTGATGATAAAACACTTGCATGCTGTATCTATTCCCAGTAGAGCTTTGTTTAAGGACCTGTCTTCAGAGGGATCCTGAAATAATGGGATGTTCAGTTAAAATTTGTGGCTTGTCCCTGTTATTAACTATGGCTTGAGGATAGCGCATGAAAATGTGAGACTTAAATTGTTAGTTATTGTTTATTTTCTTAAGATAAACTTTCTGATGCATCCTGTGTTCCTCACTAATTTATAGTGACTTACTGTACCTACTGTGTTTATAAAAAGCAGTAAAGAAAACTATCTTTCCTTGATTTTTATTTAAGAATTTCTGTATTTCTTGGAAAAGACTGAGAAGGATTGCCAATTTGGGACAGCATTCTGCTGTTTCCTCACTGATTTGATTTTTTTTTTTACATGTGAACTTATCTATTTTGCATATTTCAGTGTTAAACCTCTTTGGTTTGTATTCTTGCCACACTTTATTGTATCTGAGACTTCAGTTGTAAAGTAATTACTTCCCCTAAAGCATACTTTCAGTTTATAAATTTATACTTGTTCCTTCTCAGCAATGATAGCACTGATGGAGAACCGGAAGAAAAGAGAAGAAAAGTTGCAAATGTTGTCATCAACCAGCCTGCCACAGATTCAAAAACACTGATTGAAAATGCTCCAGAAGAGGTATGATGTATTGTTCTGCTGTTAGCAGGCACGATCATTCAGTTTTTTAGCAGAGTAACGTAAAATAAAACTCCTTTATGCTTCCCAATTCTTTACTCTGTTTCTCTTAATGGTAAAGTGACTAAAGAATGCTGTTGCCAGCTTATTTTCATATGTAATGAAGCAAATAGGCTTCAAACTGTGCATAGCATTGAGGCAGAAAACATGTTTAATCCATGGGTAGCAGTTTGTGACTGAAATGAACCTGACTAGGTGGATTACAGGTATCAGACCTGGGTATTAAACTGTAAAACTGTGCTAAATACTTAGATGATATGATTACACTGAGCCATAAATAATTTGATCTAAATGTTCATGTACACTTTACTTAATCTTCACCTTACTTTAATTAGGCTTAATTTAGAATTTCTATCTTTAGTAGCTGAAGATTTCAACAGTTACCTTAGTCTCAGAAAAACTTGCATTTGTTTCAATAGAATGAAAAGCTGAAAAATTGTAAGAAATGCTATACCAGAATACAGATGGCACACAGAAGTTTGTGAAGAGAGTTTATCTTGATAAGATAAACTCTCTCTATTCTAAAAAAAGATTTTTCCAAGTGTAGCTTAAGTAATTTGCAAAACAATGATAAGAAAATGAATTTGAGAGATTGATGATAACTAGGGGCTGAGTAGCTGCTGGTTGCTAGCCTTTCAAATGCTTTGTTTGTTATGATGGTGTGAACTTACTAATGTTAGTGTCATAATTTCCTTTTCACAGCCATGTCAGTTTCCTTGTAGGAAATTTTGGGATAGTGGATGTGCTTCTGGTTTTCAAAAATCTGGAATCTGTTTTGAAAAGGGTGATGTTTATTACTGGGTTAATTGACCCAATTTGATTATGTAGTGTAATCTCCCTGTTATGTTCTTTAAAGGCTAAGATCATAAATTGAAAGAATTGCTGGGGAGAGTAAGAAACTTTGCTTAATTTTCTGCCTTAGCATGGTTCCTAAAGGGAGGCTGAAGTTCAGAACATCAAAATTAATTACCATAGAGAAGAGGTGACAGTACTAACAGACAAACTTCATAAGCTTTTCAAAAGATCTGATGCCAATCAGCAAGGTTTCTGAAGTGTGGAAGAAGGTTGTTTGTTTATTTCAATTCTGTCCAGAAACAAAGAAAAATACTTAAGCTTTTGTAGGTGTCTGTTATCTTCACGTATCTAAGTGGTGTACAATATAAGAAGTGTTCGTCTGATCCCTTTCTCTTTATCTCATAGTGGTTTTTTTTTATTAATTTAGGCAAATGAATGGCCCCTGGAAAGCTTTTGTGAAGAGGTGTGCAATGATCTCTTTAACCCTTCTTGGGAGGTAAGACATACGTGCAGTATCTAAGGTGTAACAATAAATCAAAGAAAAGGCTTCAGTAGAAGGACAAAAATTGTGTGCGTAGGATTTAAGAGCATTTTGCTAGATAGCAAAAACTACATCAATCGTAAATACAGATTACATAGCTCAGACAAGTGTGTTTTAAGACTCATTTAAAGGTGAAATGAAAACAGATGTATAATGCATACTTAAGTGGAGAGTGGGAAAGATATGAAAAGCAGTGATTATAAGTGAGAACCCTGGAAGTATTGAAATTCAAGCAAAATAAAAGCATGTGAATATATAGTCAAAAAGATTAAGTAATTAAAACAGGCTTGGATTCATCAACAGTTTGAGGAATATTGTGCGAGTCTGTTGCTGCTAACTGTGGCATGTTTGTCTAATGCTAAGCTAGTAGAAAAGGCAGAGGGAATCAATCCTTTGGTAACAGGGTAGGCTACAAATCATTAGTTGTTCTCTTCATTGATGAAAAGGAACTTCTAACTTTTTTTAGAATGATAGTAAATACCAGCTACAAAAACTATATATTTGGCTGCCTAGACAACTTATTTTCAAGATTCAAAACCTGTTTTGCTCACTCTTCTGTTCACTCCTTATACTATTTTCCACCAACTTTGATATCTGTTCCAAGCAAAAAGATGAAGTAGCTGACAAAGGTGTCTCTTCCTTGAGCAGAAGATGGAAATAATTGTTGTCAACTAACTTGAGGTTTTTAATAAAAAAGTTGATCTTTTGAAAGATTAAATGTTACACAAACTACAACATACTTTGAAACTGTGCTACAGATACACCTGTGATAGAAAGTTGGCTCTGCCCATACTGACCTCAAACTTGGAAACACAGATATAGATCATATGCAGTCAGCACAATTATTTTGGGCCCAGAAAAAGGGTAATTATATTTGTGGCACGTCACTGCATCTGAGCTAATAAGCCTCACCTTGTTTGAAAGCAGGCTTGTTGGAGTTGAAGCCAAAGTCCTCATCTTCTGGAATGCATGTGTTCTCATAACTTTCTTAGTACATTTGATAGAGGGCACAGACATCTTAATTTAGGAAGTAGATCAATACAGAATTATTATTATGGTATGTTCTGGATGAAAAACAGGTTAAACTACCTCAAAATACGTGTTTATAAAATGGCCCTCTGGCATATTCTTGCAATGTCTAGAGGCAGCCTGGATGACTGGTTCAGACTGCTTGCCTAGCTTAGAGGCAGCTGAAGTTAGGCAAGATGAATCCTACTACTGGTATTTCCTTCTGTGCATTTGTCTGTCTTGCTGTTGTTTTGTGTTTGCAGAAACTAAGAAGTTAACTAGCAAAGTCTTCCTCTTTTGGCTTGTAAAAACTAGCTTATAAGCAATCTCAGACCAAGTAAACAAATGATTGGTGTATTATGAACAATTAGGACTTTAAGATGAGGTGCTATGGTTTTTATTGGCTTGCTTATAGCTTTTACCAACAGCCACTGAGCTGCACGTATGGGGATGTGTATGGTTGTGCTTCATCTAAGATATTTGATTAAGGGAGGACCTACCAATTACTCAGTTATAGTTGTTGCTATCATGAAATGAAATACACTAAGTTTCTGCTAGCAGCAAGCATGTACCTCAAGAGGCCTAAAAAAAGAGTAAGTTCTGGTCTAACCTGTGTGAAGGCCTCTCAATGAAAATACGGTTCAAGGCTTTGCTTTTGTAACTTTCTCTGTATCTGTTGAGTGGGCTTTTTTTGATGAGCCAATTACTAGTCCCGTTACAGATCAAAAATACCAGAAACAGGTGTGTCTGTAGCACATCTTTCTACTGGTCTTCTGTCATTTCCAGAATTCTTCCTAGTATGTTCAACTGTTCATGTTTGGTGGGAAACATACAAAGTGGCTATACTTGCTTTCCCATATCACTTGTTCACTTATTTTTTTTTAATATTTAGCCAAGCAAGGCAGGTTTGTAAGCTATACAAAATAGCAATTGTCAGAAATTCTTTTGCAGACCGCAGCATCCTCCGTGAGGATCCAAACTGTTTAAGAGATATAAAGAGTTCTAGAGCAATATAAATATAATAAGAGAAATAAGTGTTTAACAAATATAAGAATAACACTTTTCTTTAGCTTATAAACTTATTAAAACAAGTAATATCTTCTAGTGGCTCTTTCTCTGAAAACTAGTGTCTTAGAACATAGTGAGATAAAAACTAAAAGAAAACTATCTTTAGCTGTATTACTGCAAATAAGATAACATATTCTGTGTTAGAAGCAATTCTTAATTGCTTCTGTCCATAAACTGGCAAATACTTAGGAAAAAGTGGGTTGGTTTTGCACAGATTAGTATTTAAGTAAATGACTTGATCTAATAAAATACTACCCTTTCCTACAAGTTTTAAGTACCACTAACTCTGCAGCACTTGAAATGTCTGTATTAAGAATAAAGAAGATTGTTTCAGTTACCCAGTGTGGCTTTTATCTTCTGTTCCTAAATATTTTAAAATTGACTTCTTATTTCACTTTTCTAGGTTCGACATGGTGCAGGTACTGGACTGAGAGAGATACTTAAAGCTCATGGTAAAAGTGGTGGTAAAATGGGAGATAGCACTTTAGAAGAGGTAAGTTTCCAGTCATGGAGACTTAAGAAGTCTGTTTTCTAAACTTCATTTAAAATACTTAAGCTTTGCAGGCAGTGGGTGATCTGGGGGAGTATAAACCACGAGATTTGTCTACCGAAAGTAATCTGAATCAAATCATCGTATGCACTGATGAAATATTTATATTCTTTTAAAAAGGCCAGTGCAAAAAAAAATACTACTGTATAAGCAGCCATTAATATGTAGACTGTGTGTAAAGCTAATAAATACTAGCTTCTGTACTAGAAAATACTATTTTGGGGTCATGGTATGGGTGCACTGAAGCAGAATTGACAAGTTGATTATGTAACTCTAGTGAAGTGTCTCAGTCCATCTCATTCTATTCACTTAAATAGTAAGGGGACTGTATTGATCTGCTTGCTTTGCTGTTATGAGGAAAAAGTAGTTAGTCTATTTAAAAGGAAAACACTTTTTAGAAATATCCTGACAGTAATAACTTGTTTACTAATAGTGAATCTCAGCCATACTGAGTTCCCTGCTGTAAAAGCAGCTGGGAATGCTTGTGGTTTAGAGAGGGTTGAAGAATGAGGATATACGTTTGTCAAATGGAAATCAAGCTACTTCAGCATACTTGGTATATAGGCAAAGCAAAAGCTGCTGTTGCTTCTTGCTTCCATGTGGAATAGTATTTGTTCCACGGAGATTGTAGGGTAATAATAACACATGCTGCAATGATAAGATACTTCAGTTTCTTAACTATTTATGGAACGAGTGTGTGTACTTCAGGCTCGCTTCAAAGACTGCTGTGTATGCTATATGCAGGCTATAATTCTTTGACATCTATGGGAACATGAAATCCATAATGTGATGAAAGTTTTGTTCATTAAAATGATAGTTTTCAAGGGAAGTGGTGATCTTGTAGGCGAACGGTGGAGATGAGGAAGATGATGCCTGAGCAGTTGCTTTTATGGGGCTTCTGCTCTGAGATTGAGTTACATGGCAATTGGGTTTCTAACAGAGGCCAGAGCTTCAAGACAAGCTTGGTCTAAATTGTTTTGTTAAATCTGGAAGAGAGATGGCTGAAGAGCGAGTTCCTTTCACTGAGTCTCCCACAGTGGAGTAGTATTGCTTCATTGTTTGTGTTTATTTGTAAGTATTCTTCAAACATGTATTGATTGATTTGCCTAGGATGTGTTGACATCAGTCAGTATAGATTATCTGAATGACCTTACCTTTGTCTGCTGTGTAGGGATAGAATTATCTGCCTACCTTACAAGGTGCTGTTTAGCCTTTTGATAAAGATACTATGTGGGTTAAAAAAAATAAACCGAAAACCAACAAATAATAATGTTTAATAAGCCAGGTGAGCTGAATTATTCTGAATTAGTGCTATTTTGCTTTGACTGTCTGTGCAAGATGACTATATTCAGTCAATTTAAACATGTTGTAATATCTTTTATATGAATTTTAGCTAAAGCAAGCATATCAGAAATATTTTATGAATAAATACAATCAAGGTGTTCAATTCTTCTCTTTTTACAGATGATTCAGCAGCATCAGGAGTGGCTTGAAGATTTGGTTATTAGACTACTTTGTGTATTTGCGTTAGACAGATTTGGAGACTTTGTTTCAGATGAAGTAAGTTGGCCCTGAGTGAACAGGTAGATCAGCAGCTTCTCCAGGAGATAATACTGCAGCACATCAACTACACTTTGTGCAGTGCTACTGCATGTGCCTGTTGTAACTGCTCACAGATGCTCATTACAAAGTAACAGATACTTGTATAGCAGTTTTGGTCATGTGACTCATATTATTTTCTTTTTAAGTCAAACTTCATACAGAAATACCTGTTTTATCATTTACTTTACCCTAGGTGGTAGCACCAGTACGTGAGACTTGTGCTCAGACTTTGGGAGTAGTACTGAAACATATGAATGAGACTGGAGTTCATAAAACTGTGGATGTTCTCCTGAAGCTGCTTACACAGGAACAGTGGGAAGTGAGACACGGTGGTCTCCTTGGAATAAAGTATGCTTTGGCAGTACGTCAGGTAATAATCCTCGTGACAAATTGCAGAGAGCTTTGGAAAAAAAGCTCTCAGAGTTGAGGATGCGGCTGAACAGTAGATAGGTATGATAACGCAAGCTTGCTTGCACTGCAGCCTCGTGTGGGTTATAAGATGTATGACTGTATTTTTATATCCAGGCTGCAGAAATCTGCAACTATATAACAAAGTTGTATTGTTGTAACTCGAATAAGTTACTTAGACAAAACATGATAGAGACTGTGCTTGCCTGGTGATACTTTCATATGCCAGGTTAACAGAGCTGAGTGGTACAAGAGGTTTAGTCTATTGGTGATATTATTTTGCAAACACTGAGCTCTGTTTACACCAAAGCTGAGCTCAGTTACAGTTCATCCAAATGTATAACCTAGGTTTTACTTCATGAATGGTAACTTAACAATATTTAGATTACAGTCTTGGACCTGTAACTTCTGCTTTATGTAAGAAACAGGTTTATTCACACAGAGTACTGCTTAGTTGTTTGGGGCATTATATGCTTTTCAGGTTAAAAAAACTTTTGATCTTTTTGGCAGGACATGATCAACACTTTATTGCCTAAAGTGTTGCCTGCAATAATTGAAGGTCTCCAAGATCTGGATGATGATGTCCGAGCTGTTGCTGCAGCATCTTTAGTACCAGTAGTGGAAAGCCTGGTCCAACTTCAGTCTCAGAAGGTGACTGAATTGTTTTCCATCAATTCTGATTGAAAAGTTCACTTTTGGTCTGAGTGAAGAAAATAATGCTTAGAGGCAAGACTTGGATTTTTCCTATTTTTTATGATAACCTCTTGGGCTTATTTGTGTAGGTACCTTTTATTCTTAACACATTGTGGGATGCACTTCTGGAGTTGGATGACTTGACGGCTTCCACAAACAGTATCATGATCCTTCTTTCCTCCCTTCTGACTTATCCTCAGGTTCGCAAATGCAGGTAACTTTTTAATTAGTATTGCTTCAGTATTGCAGGTTGGACTGTCCGGTTGTTTTCAAATTGGAATAATCAAAGTTGCTTTCAAATCATGTGCCAAGGAGATGCTTTATTTAAATCAGTATTTTAATTTTACTTTTGCTTTTCCTTAAAGTGAAGGTTAAGACAGTGCTTCTATTTTAATTACATTAGTAAAAGGCAACAAAATAATATAAAGGTACTAGACATGTTTATGTGTGAGTCTTACACACACACTCATCTTGGGTATTTTAATAAAGGCGATCAGCCCCACTCACATGGTGGTCCTGCCCACAGACTTCTTGTTTGTCTGCTCCTTGTTGACAAACTCCAAATGAGAGCAAACTATGTACATTAAAACACGTGCACGTACCTGTAGAACTTTACTATTGGAACAATTCTAAAGAAAGCTACAAACTTGAAAATTCACATCAATAGTACAACCAGTAAGTCCGACTGGTTGAAGACAATGCCTAGTTCCTCTCTGTTTGGGACTCTGTCAAATCAAAGGAATTGTATGTTAATATGTGAACATTTTTCATAATACACACGGTAAACTTGCAGTGTCTGCACTTAAGGTAGATGCTATACACATCTTATCTTTCTCATCCTATATGATTTGTAACTGCTGAAGCTGGTTTTTGCCCAAATCTAAAATTAAGAATGAAATTTTGTCACTAATACTGTCTTTAATTCAGCAAGTACTATTTGCATCAGTTGATGTGCAGGCTCATGCACAAGAGATCCAACCTTGTTTTAATTATTTCTAAACTCATAAATGCCTAATAATAAGTTCAAAACAAAACCACAAAACCCCCTCTTTTCTAAATAGTTGAACAAAGCCCAAAGTATAATCTGGGAAACAACATGGTAAAAATACATGCTTGAATGGGCTAGTGTTTTATATTAGTAAGGAAAAAACCAGTATTTTCCTGAAAAACGATACTGACTCAAACCATTTTAAATGTTTAAACTGTGGTAACTTGATCCTTCACTTAAAATCACAAAGCACATGCAATAATACTTTTATTTTTAAAAAGCCTTTTTTTGGATAAAACTAAATGAGGATTAACAAAATTAACTGAACTCTGTATTCTTCTCCCCTGTCACTGCCTCTGCATCTCCCCTTCATGTACTAGTATTCAGCAGTCACTCACAGTTTTGGTCCCACGTGTGTGGCCGTTCTTGCATCATACTATATCTTCTGTGCGAAAAGCAGCACTGGAAACTTTATTCACACTGCTGTCTACCCAAGACCAGGTAAGAAATAGAGTTGTTAGTCGTTTACTGTGATACATACTGGAATCTGCTTGATCATACGATATCCTTGTTTCAGAGCTCTTCGACATGGCTGACTCCAATTCTGCAAGACATGTTGAGGCATATATTTCAATTTTGTATCTTGGAAAGCAACCAAGAAATTCTGGATCTTATTCACAAGGTATTTGCATGACTTAAGACCTGGATATATAGTGTTTGTGTATTCTGCTCTTCCATATCCTCTGCAGTTTTGTGCAGATAAAGAATAGTGTGTTCATGTTAACTATTTTGTAGATAGTGATGTGTTGCTTTACTATAGAGTGAAGAATAGGATGGTTCCTACAGTTTACCAGCACATATATGATCTTACATAGACCATATACAATTTTATCATTATTTCCACTATGGTTCTTTCCCAAGGTATGGCTGGAACTGTTAAACAAGGCATCTGTACAGTATGTGGTTGCAGCTGCTTGTCCGTGGATGGGAGCCTGGCTCTGCTTAATGATGCAGCCTTCTCACATGCCCATTGACTTAAACATGTTGCTCGAAGTAAAAACCAGATCAAAAGTAAGTGAAACGTTACCTCACTAACTCTTTTCTGGGGAAAGCAGGAAACTGATTAGCCGTATATAAAAACACGTTCTAAAGGTGTTAAAGGGGAGTGGTGGTCCCTTTCTACAACTCTAATGTAACCTATCTTACAAACCTCAAGTTGGTACAGCAAAATAGTCCTTGTTAGGTTATCCATGAGAATTCACAGTTCTGTCATGTAGTGTGCTCCCTTTATAAAGTCTTTATTTGCGTGGTTCCAAAACCATCTGTTTGCAGGACTGAGTTAAGTCTAAAAGCTTTGCATTGTTTCTGAAAAATAGGCTGAAAGAGGTGTGGACTCAGTTTATCAGCTGTATATTGAGTATTCTAATATTATAGTGAAGGAACAATCTCATACGTTTAATAGGACCATAGAATACTATAGTGGAGAGGTGATTTACAATGAGTAACTACTTTAACCAGTCAGTTATCCAAGAAATGTTCTGGCTTAGTCCAACTTTTGCAGGATATGATGGTTACTGGAAATGTGACAGAATATAAATTCATTTTTTCTATTACAAACACATTTACTTTCAACCTCTCCCAACTTTATTCCATAGGAAAAGGCAGGTGCTAAACTGCGTCAAGGTCAAACCCAGAATAAGGAAGTGATTCAGGAATATATTGCTGGGGCAGACAGCATTGCAGAAGATCCAGCAACCAGGGATTATGTTGTCATGCGAGCTCGGATGATGGCAGCAAAGTCAGTTTACTGGAAATATGAAAAAATATTTAAAAGCAATTTATCTTTTTTGTTATATAGTGCTTTTGCCAAAATTTATCTATTTTTGACATCTTCATTTTGAATTGTTAATTGCAGAGTAATTGTGACATTGAAGTGACTGTTCTTTCTGCTTTTGTCAGGTTGCTGGGAGCACTTTGTTGCTGCATTTGTGACCCAGGTGTAAATACTGTTACTCAAGAAATAAAGCCAGCTGAATCATTAGCTCAGCTACTGCTTTTCCACTTGAATTCTAAATCTGCCTTGCAGAGGATTAGTGTTGCGTTAGTAATCTGTGAGTGGGCAGCCTTGCAAAAGGTAGGATGTTTCTGCAGCAAAAATAAATTTTACTTACTATCTTAACCCACAGCTTGTCATCTGCTACTTGAAATAAAATTTCAGTTGATAAGTTAAAATGGTATTTATACATCTAAATACTAAAATCCTGATTGTTAGACAATGGAGGAATATATTACTCTGTAGTTAAAAAGCCAACTGTCAGAACTATGAATCAGTAAATATGTTCACATTTTTCTACAAATAAGTCTGTTCTCAAGATGCACGTTATCTAAGATCAATGCTTCCTTTTAACGTGACTGTCTTATCTGTATTCGCTATAACTTCTGTTCTAGTGGCAGACTGAAGGTTTTGTTCATAATCTTTAATATTCTCGGTTGCAAATGTTCATGGTTCCTCTGGAAACTGGATTTTTGTAGCTAGATTGCACTGTTTGGTGCCCAAAATGAACAAAAGAAATTGTGATCACTCAGAAATACAAATTATGTCTTTTCCTGTTACAGGAGTGTAGAACTGTGGCCATTTGTGTGCAGCCTCGCTTACTTGGGGTTCTTTACGAACATCTCTATTACGATGAAATTGCTGTTCCTTTTACACGAATGCAGAATGAATGTAAACAACTCATCTCGCTGTTAGCTGATGCACACGTTGACATTGGAAACAGAGTAAACTGCAGTGTATTTACAATAGATCAAGCTAATGAGCTGGTAAGTAGAGGCATGCCTGCACTTCCTTCAAATCTATTCTTGTCTTGAAATATATCTCCAGCATAATTATTACACAGACTGTAACTTTCAGACATAATGTAGTGACTTTACGCATCCTTTGACATGAGATATGTGATAGATACTTCCCACTTCCCCTGCAGCATTTACAGACTATGCAAAAAATCAAGTAGGTAGATATTTAACAGGAGAAAAAACTGACTGTGTTCTGATTCCAAGTGTAGATTCTCTATTGAAATCTAGACAGACTAAAACAAAGCAGGCTGGAACTCCTTCAAAACCACTGTCAAAAGACTAGTACATAAACTGTGTCAATTCTAGACCTTCTCTTCCCTGACCTCCCAAGCATGTGTTTTAAACTGCGGGTTTTTTTTACTGGCTGTTCAATTGTTTTGTCTTTTTAAATGTGAAAATGTCAGTGTTAATGTGCTAATAAAAGGTAACTCTTGACATGAAAAGCTCTGTTAGCAAAAATAGAGCTGATAATGTCAGGGCTACAAATAAAAAGGTTTTTTGTCTAACCCCAAACTGGCCTCTGAAGCAGAGGGAAAAATGACTATGGACAGATGAAGTAGGATATAAATGAAGAGCTTGTGGATTTGAGAGCCTGCAAAATAAAAGGGGACTGGGGTGGGGAGGGGTGTATAGATTTGAGGAGGATGAAGGAATGGTGATGGATGTGGTGCAGCTTGTGGTGGGGGAGAAGGGGTATTAGGATTCTGGATGTGTTTGTGTATGTAACTTGGATGCTGAGGATAAGGTTAAGAATAAAAGGAGGTTTAAGTTTGTATAATGATGGCCATCATGACTATAGCATGATGGATCTTGTAATTCTCAGATGGTAGTATTCTCAGATGGTGCACAAGTCCATGGGACCCGATGAGTTGCATCCGCAGGTCTTGAGGGAACTGGCGGATGAAGTGGCCAGGCCACTCGCTCTCATATTTGAGAAGTCATGGCAGTCTGGCAAAGTTCCTGCCGACTGGAAGAGGGGGAACATAACCCCCATTTTTAAGAAGGGTAAAAAGGAAGACCCAGGGAACTACAGGCTGGTCAGTCTCACCTCCGTGCCTGGCAAGATCATGGAGCAGACCCTTCTGGAGACTATGCTCAGGCACATGGAAAACAAGGAGGTGATTGGTGACAGCCAACACGGCTTCACTAGGGGCAAATCGTGCCTGACAAACTTGGTGACCTTCTATGATGGGGTTACAGTGTCGGTGGATAAGGGAAGGGCAACTGACATCATCTACCTGGACTTGTGCAAGGCATTTGACACTGTCCCACATGACATCCTTGTCTCTAAATTGGAGAGACATGGATTCGATGGATGGACCACTGAGTGGATAAGGAATTGGCTGGATGGTCGCACTCAAAGAGTTGTGGTCAATGGCTCAATGTCCAAGTGGACAACGGTGACGAGTGGCATTCCTCAGGGGTTGGCACTGGGGCCAGCACTGTTGAACATCTTTGTCGGCGACACGGACAGTGGGA